ATTACTTGCTCCGGCATTCCACATGCCCTCATCACTGATAATGGTTTGCAATTCACCGATCAAAAACTCAATCGGTTTATTCAAGATCTCGGCATCAAGCATAGGTTTACATCCGTAGAGCATCCGCAATCCAACGGGCAAGCCAAAGCAGCTAATAAGGTGATTCTCAATGAGCTAAAGAAACGGTTGGGAGACGCCAAAGGAGCTTGGGCCGAAGAACTGACGGAGGTCCTATGGGCCTATCGGTGCACTCCTCAGTCCACTACAAAGGAGACCCCCTTTCGGTTAACATATGGTACTGATGCCATGATCCCCGTTGAAGTTGGGGAACCATCTTTTCGGCGACAATACTTCGAGGAGAACTGCAATGAGGCATCCCTCTGAGCCGAAACAGACATGGTCGAGGAAATTCGTACCAAAGCACAGATCATGTCCGAAGCTTGCAAGCAGCGAATGGCTAAGCGATTCAACTCGGCACTCGCGAAGAGGGAGTTTCAGGAAGGAGACCTTGTGTGGCGGGTACAAGTATTGGCAAGACGCAACCCTCGGGAAGGCAAGCTGGCGGCCAATTAGGATGGCCCATTCCGGATCCGACATAACCTTCATAATGGAGCATATAAACTAGAAGAGCTCTCGGGAAAAATCATTCCTCGCACCTGGAACGCAACTCATTTGAAGATGTATTTTAGCTAAGACATGCTTGTAAACAAAGGAATTTATCATCAATGTATATGCATGGTACACTCTTTTCCTCGATCGGTCTTTTTCCCCTTATAAAAAAGTGAAAAGGGGTTTTGGCCGATAAGATTTTTAATGAGGCACCCATTAATGAAATGCAATTTTACTCATTACTCGTCTTAAATCAATTGTCACAAAAAAGACTTCCCTCCCGAGTGACCCCACTCGGCCAAGGATGCGCCTTCGGCTATCAACAAAAAAGGCTTCCCTCCCGAGTGACCTCACTCGACCAAGGATGCGCCTTCGACTATCACAAAAAAGGCTTCCCTCCCGAGTGACCCCACTCGGCCAAGGATGCGCCTTCGGCTATCAACAAAAAAGGCTTCCCTCCCGAGTGACCTCACTCGACCAAGGATGCGCCTTCGACTATCACAAAAAAGGCTTCCCTCCCGAGTGACCCCACTCGGCCAAGGATGCGCCTTCGGCTATCAACAAAAAAGGCTTCCCTCCCGAGTGACCTCACTCGGCCAAGGATGCGCCTTCGACTATCAACAAAAAAGGCTTCCCTCCCGAGTGACCCCATTCGGCCAAGGATGCGCCTTCATCTATCACAAAAAAGGCTTCCCTCCCGAGTGACCTCACTCGGCCAAGGATGCGCCTTCGGCTATCAACAAAAAAGGCTTCCCTCCCGAGTGCCCCCACTCGACCAACGATGCCCCTTCGGAATTCACTTAAAAGACTACCCTCCCGAATGCACCTTCAGCATTAACACAAGATGCAGATATATCAACTACCAATTGTTACACATCATCAAAAGCAATCAAATCCGAATGAACCCATTCGGTTTTGATCCAAAAGCAATCAAATTCGAACGAACTCGTTCGGTTTTGATCAAAAAGCAATCAAATCCGAACGAACCCGTTCGGTTTTGATCAAAAAGCAATCAAATCCGAACGAACCCGTTCGGTTTTGATCAAAAAGCAATCAAATCCGAACGACCCCGTTCAGTTTTGATCAAAAAGCAATCAAATCCAAACGAACCCGTTCGGTTTTATCCAAAAGCAATCAAATCCGAACGAACCCGTTCGGTTTTGATCAAAAAGCAATCAAATCCGAACGAACCCGTTCGATTTTGATCAAAAAGCAATCAAATCCGAACGACCCCGTTCGGTTTTGATCAAAAAGCAATCAAATATGAACGACCCCGTTCGGTTTTGATCAAAAAGCAATCAAATCCGAACGAACCCGTTCGGTTTTGATCAAAAAGCATTCAAACCCGAACGAACTCGTTCGGTTTTGAATCAAGAAGTCAAATCCGAAGGAACCCATCCGGTTTTGATCCAAAGGCAATCAAAGCCGAACGAACCCGTTCGGTTTTGATCAAAAATCAAAATCGAGTCCGAATGAACTCATTCGGTTTGGTCGCAGGATAACTACTTCCGAAAGAATACAACCGGTTAGGTTCCAAAAAAAACAATCAAAATAAAAGTGCACGTCATACATAGTCCAATTCCAAGTTTCTTCAAAAACAAGCACTTGTCATTTAATGAACGTCAAAAGGCTCTATTGGCCATCATTACAAGCAAAAGAAAATTGCAATCAAATTAAAACGGCTCTATCGGCCTACCATACAAAAACCTAAGTCCCCAACATGATTACTCTTCGGTGTTGTTGCCCGGGTCATCTTGTACCTCGGGCCCGCCGTCTTGATCTTGGTTCGGCTCTTCCTGTTGGGTTTCAGCCTCACCATCCGAAGCATCTGGAATCGCCTCATCTTCGAGGTCATCATTCGGCGCGTCGCTGTTGGGGACAGCCCCCTCGGGCATATCCTGAAAAGACATAAAAGACCCTTGGTAGAAATCTTTCGACATATCAAATTCAAAACCTTCCCTAAAGCGACCGAAGTGTTGTGCTTGCCAAAGAGCATGGCGAAACCCAGCTTCATGTTGGGCCACGATACGCTCCTTGGCTTGCTCTTTCACCCGCTCCAGTTCCGCATTAGCTTCCTCCATTCGGCGCTTTTCTTCGTTCGCGGCTTTTTGCATGTCCAACCGAAGAGTATCATTGTTGCGCCGCTGCACGTCAAGCTCGGCTGCAAGTTGGCGACTTTTCGCTGATGCCTCCTCGGCAGCCGCCATGGCCTTGGCTGTGGCCTTATCGGCATCCTCAACCCTTTTTCTCAGTTGAATCAACTCGCCGATTGGCTCCATTGCGAGGTGATGCACGAGTGCTAGCGACCGAGACTGTACCTCACAAAAATATTTCCATTTGGCCATGGTATCCAACTGGCCTAGGAACTCGCGGCCATGATCCGAGACTGCGTTTGGTCGAACCAGTGACTCGGCAGTGACTTCTTCACTCAGAAAGGCCCTGGACATTAGCATGGGGGGCACACAAATAATTGTCCCGCCCGGAGAGGACACTGAGTGCTTGGATTTCTTGGTCTTTTCCGGCCTCTCCTCATTACTTTTTCGCTTCGGCCCCTCCTGAATAACCTCCTTCCCCTTCCTCACCTTTAGGCGTTTTCGTTCCGGGGTAGGCGGAGTTCGGTCATCTTGCTCTGGACGAGGCGTTTGGGCAAGCGCCGAACTGCCCACAACCCCAGAAGCCCTAGCCTGTTGCATTCGGCCAGCCAAAAGATTGCGGATGTTGAACTCATCGGCACCACTTGACACCATGATTCCTGCACCAATAACCAAGTAAACATCAATAGGAATTTACTTAAAGGCCGAAATAGGCAAGATACATACCTATCAAATCATTCTCCCATCGGGGAGACTCAACTACGTTTATTAAAGACTTAGTCGGCAAGCGCCTAGGAAGTTGGAGTAAAAATTGCAAATCCCTTTGCTCTTCAGCTGTGAGCATCTCATCCGGCACTACATCATACGGTCGAGGGGCACAGGTCCAGTACAACGGAAAAAAGCTCTTATCGTCGACCCCAAAGAAGAAACGCCTCCCGTTCGGACGAATGGTCACTCGGAAAAATCCCGCTTTAAAATTCTTGTATGACGACGTAAAGCTATCCAATAATTGCCGAGACCCTACTCGGCTAAGAGACACCCATTTGGCCAAATCTGAAGGGCGGGACAAATAGAAAGAAAGAAAAAGTAGGGGTGAAGGCCTAATGTTCACACATAGGCATAGATGCTTGAAACCTTGAAGTTGGGCCCAGTTGTTCGGGTGTAGTTGGGTCGGCGCAACGTTTAAGACCTTAAGCACTCCCATAGTGAACTCATCAAATGGTAGTCTCACCTTAAGATCTCGCAAAAGGCAATCATAAATGTAGAACGAGGCCATCCTATCGGTTTGGTTATCCAAGCACACCACGTCCGGATCGGGAAATGCGTTGTTTCGGCAAGCGCGCACGCCAATCGGATACGGATTCTCGCCAGAGTTGAAATACAAACACTTGGTGTACCCTAATAAGTTGGTTATCATGGTGGTATCTCGATAGCGAGAATAGTAGGAAGTCACTTCTCCATTGACCCAATCGTACCCAGGTACCTCGGAAGGTTCATACTTTTGCCGATTGGAAATACGCTTGACTCGGATCGGTGCCTCTTCACTCCCACTGGTTGAGGTCTCTTCGGAAGTACCCATTTCCTCGCTAGACTTGTCCCCGCTCGGCGACGACGTCTCCCTACGGAACGGCCCCGAAGCCCTAGACCGATTCAATCTTTGACCCACTAATCTAGTACTCTACTCGATTTGTTGACCGGTTCTGTTTTTAAAATTATACATGTAAAAAGGCAAGTATCAAAAGCATCTAGTTTCCAAAGCATACAGGGCCTAGGAAAATTTCTAGGTTCCTTCACCACAAGAGAGTTTGTAAACATATGTATCAATTGATTTGTCCTAGACTAATTAGCGGTTGAGTAGTAGGAAGGACCAAACTTTATCCTTTGTTGGTAGGGTCACCTTAGCCAAGTTAGTTTTGATTAGTGAAAAATCATATTCTACTCTTTAATTTAGTTAATTAAAATTCTTTTAAAAAAATGACAAAATTTTAATTTCTTTTTAAATAATTTATCCAAAAAACTTATTTAATAGTAGAATATTTTAATTTAATTAAAATATAAACTATTCAATTAAATTAATTCATCCAAACACATTACAAGTGAAATACAAGTTTTTTATTTTATACTTTTTTAAAAAGTATCATTTCATCATTCATAAAAAAAAATTCTCACTTGAATCAGATAAGATTATTATGAATAATAAAATTTTTACATCAAAATATTTAACATAATTATAAACTTCGACTCATAGTTTTATATATTTAATGTTTTTATTATTATTTTATGATATTAATAACAATAATAATAATAATAATAATATATTATTATTTATAAAAGGAGATAACTTAAATTCTAATTAAAAATTCAATAGAGACTAAATTCAGTTTTAGGTATACTTGATTATGAAAGTTTACATACTATTTTTAGTTTATATAAATAAATAATTTCTACAAATTCCAACAAAACGTTTGAATGAGAATAATAAAATAAAAGTCTTATAATGTATATATATATAATTCATTCAATTTAATTCTTTACCTAAGCAATGAATTGAAAACTTTGGTAACATACATTTTATAAAATATCTAAAAATGAAATGGACTATGTATTACATGAATCCAGGCATTACAAAATTTGTATCAATGGCCCAACACCAGTAGTATTAAGCCCATAAGAAGTCAATAG